TTCGCATTTACAATTAGTCTTAGAAGGTAAGATGGTTTGATGAATTTGACTAACTCGTCATGAGATCATTAATCTACCATCCTGTGGCAAAAAAGGTCTCTTGAAAAAGTGTCCAACCTTATTTTTGAAGCACTTGATAGATTTGAAACAATCAGCTGACCTTGGACCTTCGTGCGCATGCGTGAATTTTTCGCCGCCTGCCAATAGCGTGAGTCGCTGGAATGCAGCGGTTGAGGGAGGTAATGCGCAGTGCTCTGTCGGTTTTCCATTGCAAGGAAAATGACGGAGTGACTGCAGCAGCGCTATGGCATCGAAATTTGCCATAAACCGGGTGACAGCCAAGTGTTAATTGTTCGTAAGATCAAGACGGCTTTCGTTGACTACGCTATGAGCCGCGCACAAATTAAATAGTGGTACAACCGGTTTAAAGACGGCCGCACATCGTTAGAGAGCGAGCCACACTCCGGGGGTCCACACATGCCGAAATTACGAAGTAATTGCCGAAATGAACGCCGTGGTGATGCGGGACCGTCGTGCGAGTATCCGGAAAATTGCGAAAAAAGTGGGCATCAGCAGTTTCTCTGCACATTCCTCTATGATTTAAGATTTGGCTATGAAGAGAGGTGCGGTGAAATTCGTGCCGAAACTGCCCACGGTACAGCAAAAGCAATTTTGTGTTGATGTCTCAGAGGACATACTGTATTTCACAGCAGTGACTTCAACTTCATGAACACCGTTATCACTGGTGACGAGTCTTGGGTGTACGAATGAGACCCGGAAACAAAAGCCCAGTCGGGACAGTGGAAGCATTCTACATCCCCAAGACCAAAGAAGACCCACGAAGGGCACAACAATGTTAAAGGGATGCTGAGTGAATTCTTTCACTCCCGCGGTGTAGTACACCACAAGTACGCACCACAGGGCCAAACTATCACCAACAAGTACTGCAGGTATGTCCTCCGCAACCTACGCGATGTTGTTCGGTGCAAGAGACCTGAGTTATGGTCAGCATGTGCAGAAAAGTGGAGCATCCATCTCGACATTTCTTCTGCACATTCATCTCACCTGGTTCTGACTTTTTTGGCGGAAATCACTCCTGTAGTTCCACTGGCTCCTTACTCTCCTGATATGGCCCCCTGCGACTTGTGACGGTTTTCGAAACATGAGAGGGCAATGAAAGGAGAGTGATTTCCGATAAGAGAGGGCATTATGGCTGTCACTTCAGCTGATTTGAACATCATACCGAAAAAGGCCTTTTCAGGAACCTTCCAACAGTGGCAGAACCACTGGGAGAAAAAGTGTGGAGTCTGTTTCCAACACTCCAATTATGCCAGTTTTTTTTTGTTCCATCAAAGGTCAGATGCTTTTCTAACAGACCTCATACGTCGCCAAAGCATTTCCGCCAGAAATGTGGCATATACCCGCAGGCGTGTATGTTGCACAACTTTTCGGGCATGTGCCAAAAGTGATTGACAGTTTATATCTACCGAGAAACTGCGAGAGTAGACAAGGGTAGTTTTAATGCTTGGCCGATAAGAAAAGGCTGACATAGAAAGCGTTGACCTGACGAATGCAAAGAATAATTGTTAGAGTACCAGCAGGAATCGAGCACTAGCATTCTGCCTGGCAGTCAAGTATTCTACCACAGAAGCACGATAGGAGAATGGGCTACATTATATTCCAAAATTTTACAGCTGAAGCGCAAAATAGGTAGACAGCGGAAGAAAGGAACAATGAAGGCGAGCATTAACCTCCAACTATACATTTATTGCAAAATACAAAGAATAGACACCTGTAACAACACATCAAAATTATATGATTCAATGCACTAGGTGAAGACACAACTAAAGAAGAGGAAATTTACGTAGAAAAAAATTGGCAGCATATCCACGGAGTGAATGATGGATAGTGGGGCGAAGCATCCGTCCGTCCATTCGTTCTTGCTCCCGTCCATCCATGTGTGCGTCTGTGTGGCCGCCAATGCGTCCATACGCCCGTCCGTGCGTGCGTCTGTTCGTGCGTCCACACGTTCATCTGTGCGTCCGTCCCTGCTTTCGTCCATGCATACGCTCCTGCATCCGTTCATGCGTCCATCCGTCCGTGCAGCCGTCCGTGCGTCCGTCCATGCATCTGTCTGTGTGTCCATTCGTCCACCTATTCAGCCCTCCAAGTACCACCATCTCGCATGTTTTCATTATATATTCCTTATATAGAAGCACCGCCATTCAGCAGGCATTCCAAGGACTGAACGAGAGGAGGCACACGCACACTTTCTTACGGCTTGCGCTTCGTGTCTGCTTCCCACCTTTAACCACCTCGAGTTCATGGTATATACTATTTTACTGTATTAATGGCACTGCGGCCCAACGCTCGCTAAACCTTTCTAAAACCTAGGAGGTTACGCCCAGCGAGTATAACGTAGCAACCCTTTCTTGTCCTCTGCGCGTTGTTGAACAATGAAAAATTCGCAGCGTGCGCGTTAACTAAAAGCCGAATTCTCCTGTATCTCATTCCTCTTTAGCAGCCATTGGCATGTACATTAAGCACTATCTTTTATTGTTCAACAACGCCCAGAAGAAATCTCTCACCGACACCACCTTGGAGGTCAAAATGTTATACTTGTTACACACTACTACAACGGCTACGAGGGATGAACAAGTGCCGCTATAAGAAGCTTCGTCCCTAAACCCACTTGCCTGTGAATATAAGTATTCTAGTTCTTTTTTCGTTAGTGCATATTCGCTCATTGCGTTCCTTTGAAAACTGACGTAAATGACGCACATGCGTTTGTGGCGTCACGCGCGTTTTATAGCCGTTTTTCTCAACGCTGTTTTCGTGTGCTCCACTCTCTCTTCTTGTCTTGGGCTATAAGGGTACGCGCTTGGGCAAGTCGGTAGCTATTCGTCTCCCAAGTGTTCGCTTCCTAAGTGGCGTCCACTAACGTAATAATTGTCTTGACTGTCACAGTGCTAACTTGGAGGAAAGTCGGGCATCGGAGAGGCTTAGGTCATTCCGCGTATCACACCTGAATAGAACAATTCGTATAGTGGTGTTGGGGACTTTCGAAATAGTGTTAATGTCGTTTCTAATGATATTGTTTGCGCTGCGCGATCGCTGTGGTGCGTACTTCGATGATAGCAAATTAGAAGAGTAGTTGAATACTATACTTATTTTCCAGTTTGAAAAGTGAATGGACCTCAGACGTGAGATTGACTTCGAGAAATAATATCAAGCTTGCTACGCTATTGATTATTTGAGAACTCCTCGCGTTTGTCAGAAAATGGTTCGCCCAATAAAGAGATGGATTCTTAGCGCACAGTTCCTATTGACTTTGATGCGATAAATTAATTTTTAATGGGACTGAAAAGATCCGGCTTCAAGAAGTCAGCCAGCACTGTTATTTGCAGCTGCTGTCTCTCATCAACGCATACTGTTCGTAATGTTCAGCTAGGAGTAAAACTGTGAAAATAATTCATGACTTCACGCCTATTGCATAATAATTCATGTGTTTAACGTCTAAAAACCATGGTATCATGTTTAGGAACGCCGTAGTGTACAGCTTCACCAATTTAGACCACACGGTGTTCCGGAACGCGTACTAGGCCTAAGTACTGAAGAATAAATAATTTTCAACTCTTTCAAAATGCGTCCATCATGGCCAAGGCTTGATGCCGTGACCTTCGGGTCATCAGATAATGTAGAACAAAAAGGCGTACTACTGAACTTTTGTTGTGTTTTCATAGTAATTAATGTTTTGACCTAAATTAAAACAGAATAACATTGATGGATTATTGGCCCATTTGACTGTGGAATTTACACTTTCATGTTAATGCATGGTCGCATGCAAAATGTCACTTTGGGATTGTTTCACTATATAGGAAGTTCACAAAATGACCAAGGAAGCAAAAAAAATGGTCCTTTATGTTTGCTTTCCTCTCTATCAAAGCCACACAACATATATATTGTACGGGCAGTTGTCTTGATTTTCCGCACGCGCTCAAAAAGCCGTAAACCAAGCGCAAGTTCGAACGACTGTAAAGTGAACGATGCATGCCATCGCCAGTAAAGCTGGAACTCTCCATATAGGACAAACTTGTGCGCAGTTGAAGAACCAACACGAAAGTAGCATTAGATGCAGCAAGAACATACGGCGGTCGTGAGTATTCTGATCAATAGCGCAACACATCTATTATTTAGATTAACTATTGCGAATTCCAGCGTTATCATTGGGGCTTGAGTGATTCGCAAAATTAACTCGTCTGCTTGCATTGTGCGTGCAATCTTATGAGAATCATTTGAAATTTCTCAGATTCTCAAATTTTTCAGAACTATTCTTCAAATTTTTCAGAACTAGGTGCATGTTACCGCAAGCTTCATTGCGGTAAAACGGCCATAGTTCGGTTGTGATTGTGTTTTGGTTGATGTTTTGCGTTGAACATCCCAAAACCACCATACAGTTAGGAGAGACGCTGTAGTGTAGGGCTCCTGAAATTTCGACCACCTGGGGTTCTTTGGGTCACGGCATTTTCACCTTCATCGAAAATGCTGCCGTGGCAGCCAGGATTCAGTTCTGCGACCTGCGGGTTAGCAGCCGAGTACCTTAGCCGCTATTCCACCGAGGCGGGGCTGTGATTTTGTTTTCCTTTCCGTGAGTTTTAAAGAATAAAAACTGATTTACGTGCACTTTGGGCACCTCATGACTATTGCAGCACGTTGTTTGTCAGACATGTTACTTTTCGCAAAGCACCTTTTCTTCTTTCGAATTCTGATTAAGCGTATCTACCGGTAATCTGCATCTACCGGTAATTTCTGTCGCAAATAGCAAGAGGCGTGTCGATAAATTTTAATCGTGTAGTCGTGCCAAACTGCAATTAGGTTACACGTGAAATTCACACTGTAAAAATCACAAGAATATTTATTATTAAGGTATTGACTGGTCTACAAGGTTTGTCAGGGTATAGGGCGCTTTAACAAAGTTCACTTACAACTTGGGTAGTGGCATTTCTTCGGTTTTCCACCATCACAGGCTGAAAAAAATACGGCAACTTTTTATTGTACAAAGTCCAACTTGTTTTTGTATCTTTTGAACTTGTATATCGTACATTGCACAAAAAGAATACTTTTCATTCAGAGGCTTGTCGCCGTCCCAACAGTCTATGTTGCGATTGCGCGTTCGTTGCGATGACACCACGGCTTTTAATCAAAGTGTCACATAAAAGCTGTTTACAGCAAAAAGTGCAGTCAGATAGAAACAGCCAGTTCTGGCTCTGCCACCTCATCCACCATCGTTCGCAATGGGTAACTCGCGAATTAAACAACCAACTATAAAATTTAAAAAATTCTAGGACTAGATTGGAGTGAAACCTGGGTCATATACGCGGATGCCGAGTATTTTACCACAAGCTGCGCTGAGTTTGTTTCTTTTTAAACAGACCTGCGCTGTAGCTTGAACCACGCAGGTTTTGACCAATTTAAACACTAGATGCCCAGGAGAAGGTTAGAAAAAAAACGACAAAAAACTCTGATAAGCTGTGTTGGCTGAGTGAGGAAATTCGCAGCTTCTCATTGTCATCGGTGTGCACGCTAGGAAGCAGGCAAAAATTTTTTTCGAGGGGCCACCTCATTGACCATGAGAGGAGGACGGGGAGGGGGTCCTCCTGAAATGGGCGTTTTTCGCTCTGTATGCCATGGCGAAATAAAACTTCGCAGGAGGGGGGGCATGGACCTGGTGTGCCAACCCCCTGGGTACACCACTGCGTGTGGGTAATTTGGTTTTTTCCAAGACATGACAGACGGCGCAATGTAAACAAAACAATGTAAGACAACATTATTGAGCGCTAGAAAAGACAAGACATGGTAAGGAAGTTACACCAACTAGAGACAAGCGTTACCTTGTGTTGTATAAGTACGTATGCTGTGTATGTCTTCTTATAAGCTAGTGCCGCTGTATACTTTCTGAGTGGCAGGAGAAGGGCCGTGTCCGCAAAGTGATCACCTCAACATACTTAACGTTGCAAATAACAAAGTCAGGGGCATGATGGAATGCTGTGTAGCTGAAATGGTATATCCTAAAAAAAACCTGCGTGGAAAGCGCAGCACAGTAAGACCAAAAGCTGGAAGTGCACAAGCTGGAAACTGCTTGGGCTACTAATGCAAGTGCATTAGCAAGTTATAACCACGGCGCCCTATATAGTAAGCACTTCCACGTGTAGTCGAAATTTTGTTCTTTTATCTACTGTAAAGGTTTTTGAGTTCTCACAATCTATCTTATGTTTCGTGATGCCGTGTGCTGATAAAACGTTGGTGCAGACCCTCTTTTTTGCTTGACAGGCGCAATGTGGCCAACTATATGCAGTCACACCTAATGCTCGACTTCTAGTTTTGGCTTCCCCGCTAAGGCGAGGACAACCTTTGCCTACTATTTTTGTAACCTCAAGCTTATCGGCTCACTTGAGTGACCCTGTTTTAAACACTTTACCAATTTAATTGGTGTTACTCTCTCAATAAATAATAACTAACTCTTCAAAAGTAGAATAGTTAATGTGAATATTACCAAATAGGTTCTCTACCGTGTTTGTTATAGCCTCTATAACCCCAATATACTAGCTGCCAACGTCTAGTTCTACCTAAACTTTCATGCACGTATATGTCTGCCCATTCTATTTTCGAAAACTTCGAAAAAAGTTTCTTTATGGTTACTTACTGAAGCCTGCTGTGGTCTCAACTTTGTGAACATCTGTAAGCAGGTTACAAAATGTTTATTTAAAATAATTTTTGAATAGAGAATTGAAAAACGAAGAAAAAAAGGAAAAGCGGACATTCTTGCCCGAAGCAAGAATAAAAAAACCTGCATATTCAGAGCTAAGAGGACACATCTAAATCATGTTACAAGAAGCAATATGTAGTTTCAAATCCAACCGAAAATTGTGATAATTGTCATGATTTTCTCACACGAAGGCACTCACATTACGTGCTAGTGTCTTCCGTCCTAAACTTATGACCAAGTTCAAGTTATTTATTCATGTATTTATTCCAATATCCTCAAGGCCTAATTGTGTAATAAATGGGTGGGATTTTACTCTCTCTCTCTCTCTCTCTCTCTCTCTCTCTCTCTCTCTCTATATATATATATATATATATATATATATATATATATATATATATGTGTGTGTGTGTGTGTGTGTGTGTGTGTGTCTATGGGAAAGAAGTGTATACCTTAGGGCTTGTTTTTGCGCGTTTCGACACAATGTAATGAGATCTAAGAGACAATAATGCCAAGGAATGTATAGGGGAAGTTATTAGAACCAATGTAAAGTAAATAGGAAGAAAAAGTGGGTGAAAAATAACTTGCCGTGAGCAGGAATCAAGCCTATGACCTCCGAATAACGCGTTCGATGCTATACCACTGAGATATCACGACGGCTATTCCCCCCGCCATTTTATTGGGTTTATATATGAAAATAATCGCGGGAGTGTCAGGCAGGCCATTTGTAGCCATGGCTATATATATATATATATATATATATATATATATATATATATATATATATATATATATATATATATATATATATATATATATATATATATATATATATATATATATATATATATATATATATATATATATATATATATATATATATATATTCGTATATATATATATATATATATATATATATATATTTATATATATAATATTATATATAATATTATATATAATATTATATATATATATAATATTATATATATATATATATATATATATATATATATATATATATATATATATATATATATATATATATATATATATATATATATGCCGTCAGAAGGCAGGGATGGTTAGGAGAAGTAGAGGAGGAAGAAGTCAGAATACAATAAACATGGCGTATGAGCCAGGCCACGTCTCTCAGACATCGTAGCTTCACACGAGTCGAAGGGATGAAGACCTCGCAACCACTTCATCAACCGGCCATCATCATCGAACACTTCAGCGAGACGCAATGACCGGACGCGGACCACAGAAGTGCATCACCACTGGACATCGTTGTAACCATCATGTCGGAATCATTGACTGACCTTCCCATCCCCAAGTACACTGGAGCAGCAGACGATGGACCTGTACAGGACTGGTTCGACCTGTTCGAGCTCCACGCTACCGCTGCATCATGGTCGGAACGGGAGATGGTCACCAACATTACCGACTACGTCTCCGGTGAGGCCTCACCCACATAATTCTACCTCACCCACATATTTCTACTTCACCCACATTCTACCTCACCCACATATTTCAAAACGATGAGTCATGGTAAAAGATAAAACAAGAAATGATCGTTTGGTTTAAAGAATACAAGGACGACTACGACGAAGGCTTGCTTAAAACCCACCATCCACAGACAACCGCACTCGGTCGTCACAGTCAAAAGCAGTCGTCTCGCATGAACCCACCTCCTGCTTTTCCATCGCGTGGATCTTCGGTCGCTCACAACGCCCACCTCAGGTCTCACACGTTTACTATGGTCGGAATAGAGCAGAGGAGCTCGCAGCATACTCAGTTAATCCCGGGACCTGCAGTTCACTTTCATGCGTCAGAAGAACTCGCATCGTTCGTTGCACAGAAAGGCAGCCATTCCCAACTGGAATTTGACCAAAGCACGCCTGTTGCGGCGTCGCCATTCAGAGCGCAGCCATCTGAAAGCCCAAACACAGGAGGCTCGGAAGCGACTCTGACAGCTTGGCAGGTGCCAGAAGCCTACGTAATGAATGCTGTCGAAGCTGCCTCTGATGTTCCTTCAGTAAAATCTGTCCTACCAACTTCGCTGCCTGAAAAGCGTTGCAACGACTGCCGACTGGACACTACATCAATTTGTAAAGAAAACCGGCATGATGCTCAAGAAGCACTCCCACCTCAGCAGGTCCCAATACAACCAGAAACGCCAGCAAAAGCGAGTCCAAGGATTCGAGACGCTCCAGCGGATACACCAACAAGGACAACGACGCAAAGCGAGCCTCTTAAAGCAAACTCAAGACGTGAGGCATATACGCATAAGGTATCGGCGCCACAAATGCATTTGGCACAGGAGATCAAGACTGCACCGATGATTACAGCTCCGAAACCACAGAAAACGACGAAAGAGACAAAAAGGCATCATCTGTAGAACGCAGAGACCAAGACACCATTCCGTCAGCCGCGACCATCGCACTCGCAAACTGGAAGCACACCATCTGTTCCCGCCACGACAAACAATTCGACGCCTTCGACATCCGAACCTGAAATGCTACAGGGACTCCCAACCTTGTGCGTTCCTCGCAAGAACTCAACCGATGTCATCACCAGTGCAGATCTCCAGCGTGTGGTAATGCCATCAAGGACGCAACAGTCAGCCTCGCCCACCAGAACTCCAGCTATTACCGGACTGCTGCACTCTCCTGTAAGCTATAGTGTGTTTACGGAAACTTCCTGGGGCATGGAACGATCTTCCCTTTTTTGACAATGTTCACTTTTAAGCCTTGCATGTTAAGTTTTAATTTATGTTCGTCTGACGCGACTTCTTTCGGGGGGAGGGGGAATCTGGTGACGTAAGAAGGCAGGGATGGTAAGGAGAAGTAAACGAGAAAGAAGTCAGAATAGAATAAACATGGCGTATGAGCCAGGCCATGTCTCCCAGTCATCGTAGCGTCACACACACACACACACACACACACACACACACACACACACACACACACACACACACACACACACACACACACACACACACACACACACACACACACACACACACACACACACACACGTGTGCGCACGCACGCATATATATATATATATATATATATATATAATGTAGTGGGGAAGAGGGAGAGAGACAGTATCTAGTTGGAGCACCTGCTGAAAGACGACTACGACGAAGAGCTGAGCTCGTGACAGTGACTGACGCCTCTTGAACCAGGCAGTTGGTTTTATTCAGTAAACCCCCTTATAATCTGGTGGAAATGCTGGGTAGTCTTCGAAGCTGGAACTACGAAGTCGCACCTTACCTGCAGTGCCAGCAATGCCGGAAGAACCCTCCACCCAAGGTACCTCGCAAGTTCTCGCCTCTACATGTCTCGGCGTGTGGCCACTGCGTCACCCACCGATCTTCAGCGGCACTGACGGCCAAGACGTTGAGGAGTGGCTGGCTACTTACCAAAAGGTGAGCGCAGCGAACAAGTGGGACGATGCGGCTAAGCTGACCTATGTAAGCTTTTACTTGTCCGGCGTCGCTAGTCTCTGGTTGCGCAATCACGATGCCGACATTGCCAGCTGGGATTCATTCAAGGCCTCCTTTTCGCAAGTCTTCGACCGCCCAGCTGGACGAAAACTCCGCGCAGAACAACGACTTCGTGAGCGCGCTCAACAGCCAGGAGAGACCTTTACCAGCTACATTGAAGACGTTGTTGACTTGTGCAAGCGGGTAAACCCAGCGATGCTCGAAGCCGACAAAATCAAACAAATCTTCAAGGGCATATGCGATGACGCATTTCAAATGTTGTTAGCCAAGGACCCACAAACCACTGCCGAACTCGTCAGCTTGTGCCAGAGTTTTGACGAATTGCGCAAGCAACGCGCCCAAACACGGCGCTCTCTCGAACAACGTGATTCGATCGCGGCCTTGACTCTCGGAGACCAGAACGACATGTTGGCTCGCATAAAGCAGTTCGTGCGTGAAGAGGTCGCTCGGCAGCTCTCCATTTTATCGAGCACGCCCGAGCCAGTACAAACGCATCCTTTGGCCCCAGATCATCTGGCCCCGCCCATAAGGCACGTCATACAAGATGAGGTAGCGGACGCTTTGCCTTTCGCTCGTTCACCACCTCTGGAGGCCGCACCCTTGACGTATGCGCAAGTCGTTGCAGCCAGAGCACCTCGACAGCCCACTTATGCTACCTCACCGATCCCTGTTCGGCCATCACCAGTTCCGTTCAGACGGCCGATTGCAGCGTTTCCGAAACCGTGGCGCACCGCAGACAACCGCCCGATTTGCTATTCTTGCGGTTACGCAGGACATGTGGCTCGCTTGTGCCGCCGCCGCCCTCTCGTTCAGAGCGACAAGATGCAAAGATCGTCGCACGACTCTCGGCGCTTTAACAACACGGCACGTCAACAAGGATCCTCTTCCCCCGACCGCCCTCCCTCAGTCAGTCACCGATCTCCATATCCCCGACGTCGCTCCCTGTCGCCTATGCGCCGTCGACCCTGCCCCTCAGACGCAGAAAACTATATATACTGTCTCTCTTCCTCTATATATAGAGTACTGTTACGTGTAGAATTGCGTTTATGCCGCTGTGACGTACCAGTAGACTCGAAGGTGTCGTGCACTCGCTAGCCGAACGTCCTCTTCTCTAATCTCCCTGTTCCCCGCTACCCAGAGGCTTATACCCTAATCACATATGCAGTAACATTTCCCTCCGCGCAGACGAAGCCCACCGACCGAGTTAATGTCTCTCTCTGCCCCGCCGTGGTGGTCTAGTGGCTAAGATACTCGGCTGCTGATCCGTAGGTCACGGGATCGAATGCCGGCTGTGGCTGCTGCATTTCCGAAGGAGGCGGAAATGGTGTAGGCCCGTGTGCTCAGATTTGGTTGCACGTTAACGAACCCCAGGTGGTCAAAACCTCCGGAGCCCTCCACTGAGGCATCTCTCATAATCATATGGTGGTTTTGGGACGTTAAACCCACCATATCACTCTAGTCTCTCTCTGGGAACAAAGTACTTCAAACGTGCTATATGAACAAATTCAGTCTTTGCAGACCGTCGGCCATTTGTGCTACGCGGTAAGTTAAATCGCTTACGCAGTTTAAGTTACCGTTTATGTGGTTTAACAACATAAGGTCCCGCATAGTGTGCCAGCAGTTTTTCACACAACCGGCGTTCCCTAGTTAACATCCACAGCAACACGTGGTCTCTGCGATTATACATAACGTGTCGACATTGACCGTCAAAACGTGTCTTCGAGCGATCTCGCCAAGTGAGAGCGCGCAGATAAGCAAGACGATAGTTATAGCGCGAGAACAAAACGACGACACAGAGACAAGAAGGACACGAAAGACACGAGCGCTCCTTATTGTCTGTGTCATCGTTTTGTTCTCGCGCTATAACTATTGTCATGCCATACCAACTAGCCCAAGCTGCCACACTTGTAAGCAAGACATCGGGATTCTTCTGCACGGCAGGTGATCTCAGATATACTGGAATCATGGGGGTCCATAAACGGGAAGACGGTATCAAGGGTATGACAAGGCGGCCGAGCATAAAGAAGAAAGAATAGACTCTAGCTGGTAGTTTCATGCTGTGCGGTGTTAAATGCGTAAGTGATGAATGGTAGCACGCCGTCCCAGTTCTTGTGGTGTGCTGCGACATACATAGATGGCTTGTTCGTTAGAGTACTGTTAGTTCGTTCCATCAGGCCGTTTGTTTGGGGATGATATGGCGTAGAGTGCCGAAAGCCTTAAGCGCATAGACGAAGCATCTTTTCCACCACGTCTGCAATGAATCGTAGCCCACGATCACTGATAACAATTTTAGGAGGTCCATGTCGATGAACCACAGAACGCACCATGAATAAACACACGCCAGCTGCAGTTGCCGGTGGTATAGCAGCTGTCTCGCAGTACCGTGCTAAATGATCGGTGCATACGACTATCCAGCAATTGCCATTAGAAGACCGCGAATAGGGCCCTGGAAGGTCAATGCTAACTTGCTCGAAAGGAGCTGTAGGGGCTGGAATAGAATGTAGTCGCCCTATAGGCGCACGGCGTTGACACTCGTTGCAACTGGGGACCTGCTGTTTCGTCGTCTGGCGCATTTTTGGCCAGTAAAATATTTCTTGAAGCCGGCAAAGAGTTTTCGCTGTGCCTAGATGGCCGGACGTTGGATCATAATGCATAGCCTGCAAGACGGCAACACGAGGACTCTTCGGAACCACGAAAAGATATCGTGAGCCGGTCGTAGCATAATTATTTTTGTACACTAGCCCGTCGTGGATACAGAAGCGAGTCGCCAATGATCTTGACTTGGAAGGAAGGAGCTCCTGTATGGTGCAGTCCCTTTGCTCTTCAGTCTTAAAGGCACTGGTGTCAGAAAATGGCATGTCCATGGGTGCGATGTAGGTGTCGAAGCCGTCCGCATCTCAGTACGTCGATGGAAGCGGTAGTCGCGAAAGACAATCTGAATCAGTGTGACGGTGACCAATTTTGTAGGAAACCGTAAATCTTTTGAACTTGTGTCCTAGAACACTCTCGGAAAACCTGAAACGCCATCTTAACAGTCCCTGTTAATCGTTTACTTTCTGGACATGGATGCCTATATCATTTTCAGTCATTGTTAACTGAGTCCTTGCCCTGACAATTTGTTTTATCGATATACTATGGCTAGCATTCTCTGCAGGAAACAGCAGGCTTTGAGCGCAAAAAAAAAAAAAACAGATGTATTGCCTATTGGTTACAGTGCAACTAGTCACAGTTTAGGTGTCTTGGATTTCACCTGAAATGATTAGCACTTGAATTTTTATGGAAGATTTGCCACAAATAGCTCTCGAAGTATTTTATTGCGAATTTCGGGAACAAGAATATGCTACGATAAAAATCCCAATAAGATGTGGGAAAACATACCGTTACTTCCTCCCGAAAGGATGGGTGCGATGTTTGAAAGAACAAGAAGCAGCACAAACGCCGTCTTGTGCATGGTGACAGACGAGTATACCACAACAGAATGTTCTCAGAAGAGACGTCGTCCTGTAATTAATACGCGGATCTATATGATCAATAACTAAAGGAACAATCAGTTTCCCGAGTGAAGTACATTTCCGGATACGTACCACCCTATTATGTGACATTCACAGGAAAATCTTCTTTCATTCACCCAGGAGGCAGTAAGGTTCAATCAACTGCAGTGTCGTATCTGTGAATAATATAATTATTTAGTACTGATAGCTTCGTTACTTTCTAACTGAGGTATTTTCAATGACTTTTTATCAAGTTGTTCTTGTTTGTTTTGAGCGTTTGCGTTTTCAATGCTTAAGCATAGGGCTCACAGTAATACATTTTTATCGGGAGTAAAAATACAGTGTAAATCGTTTAATCATAATGATGGCTTATTAGTTTTTTGATTATTTATTGTAAAGGTAGCTGAAAATTTACGCACTCATAACACATAGCTTTTAAGGACAGCTGAAATGATATACACCCAAATTTACGGCCACTATACTATGACTGTACTGCCATGTTTAGACGAATGTCATGACAAGTTAAGAAAGCTGCGCACGTGTTAAAATAGATCTATTTTTCAAGACGAAATGACAACGTGGCCTAGATGGTGTACGATCTAGTTGAATAAGACCAGCGTCACTGCAAACCGAAGGCCTTCCTATGATGACGAGTTTTGATTTGCAAAACTGTCGAAGCTTGTTAAATTTGTTACCATAAAGATGTGCGGCATGAGCAAGCAAGTTCACAGTATGCAGCGGGTTTCATTTTCTCCAAATACCGTAGTGGTACAAGGGCAACTAGTCAAAAAAATTTTTTTGCGAATACTTTTACTTATCAACGATTCTGTATTGCCGTTTTTTGACTCGTACCTCGTTTCCGTAAGGTCAAAAAAAATTGCCCGCAGCTTCCCTCGGGGGAACACTGTGGAGGATGCGGAGCATATAATTGGTTAACGGGGTGTTAAAGTGCGACTTACTTGGGTCGATGGCTAAATTGGTTAACGTGGTTGTGAAATGGGGTGTTAAATTGCGACTTACTTGGGTCGATGGCTAAATTGGTTAACGTGGTTGTAGGAGGGGGTGTTAAATGAGTGAACACGTACACACGTATGCGAAAGGACGGCGCTGGTCGAAGGGACGTCGATCATTGTGTTTGTGGATTCGTTGGAATTCATTTCACCGCGACCTTGGACGTCGACGCGCCGTACAAACCAACCGACGAGCGGCAACTGAGCGAGCGAGCGCCGACCTTGAGTATATATACAGCCCGACGGCGCATGCACTGTCAGCTGTTGAATGTTCTCGAAGGAGAAGCGCGCGCGCGGCACAGATGGCAACGGCGCATGCGCTGTCAGCTGTCGAATGTTCTCGAAGGAGAAGCGCGCGCGGCACAGATGGTGGGCGACGGCGCATGCGCGCGCGTCAGCTGTCGAATGTTCGAGAAGCGGTGCGGACGGCGCACTACAAGGCGCGAGTATAAGATGCTTCCGCATCTAAAAAAAGGTTTGCACTACGGAAGGAGGCCGCCTTGTACGCAGACGCGTTATACAGCATGGAAATTGTGCACTGGTGTCACCAAGAGACACTATCAATGTCTTAGACCTGCATTAACATGTGACAGCGTCTCTCTGAAGACACGAGCCTAGTTTTGACGTTACGAACGCTTCTTTGGATACCTTCATTTCGTATGGTCGTACAATCTATTCACCTACGTCGCATAAATATTGAAGTAGTTCTGCGATACTTGAGACAAATGAATAATACTTTGGTTTCAAGACAAACATCTCAAGAAAAAAACCCTGCAATCGTATATATATATATATATATATATATATATATATATATATATATATATATATATATATATATATATATATACAATAAATTTGTAACCAGTGATGATAGCCCCGCCACGGTGGTGGTCTAGTCGCTAAGGTACTCGGCTGCTGACCCGCAGGTCGCGGGATCAAATCCCGGCTGTGGCGGCTGCATTTCCGATGGAGGCGGAAATGTTGTAGGCCCGTGTACTCAGATTAGGGTGCACGTTAAAGAACTCCAGGTGGTCAAAATTTCCGGAGCCCTCCACTACGGCGTCTCTCATAATCAAATAGTGGTTTCGGGACGTTAAACCCCACAAATCAATCAACCAGTGATGATAGCCGCTCGTGTTAAGTTGGCGAATTCAAGCTATTTCTACGAATAGTCCATAGCCACTTTGATATTCTTTAAAAGCGGCCACTGGCAATCACCGCGGAACGATGCAGTGAGCCTAATTTAGCTGGTGAAACCGGTGCACCCAACAGTGCATCCATCACTCTTTTCGACATCGCCCTCAGTGACGACACTGTTTTCCTCGCCGTTATCAACCGTCAATTTAGGCACTTCGCTTCAAGGCCGCTTATCGACGCTCGCTCGTTATTCTCCCCGAATGGGAGAGAAACGGTGTCGTCATTAAGGCTGTTGTCGAAGTGAATGGTAGATGCGCTGTTTGGTGCTTCGGTTTTGGTTTCACCAGCTAAATTGACCAGATTGCATCTCTCAGTGGTGATTACCAGTAGTCACTTTTCGAAACTTTTAAAGTGGCTAAGGACTCTGAGAAGAAAATGCTTGAATTAGCCCACTTGAGTAAACCGGCTATCAGCAGTTGTTAAAAACCGAATTGCGTGAATTTATATAATACTGCCTAACCCCATTTTGTACCCATTTAAAGATCCCTTCTGCCACAGGAAGGGAACATCGCAAATAGCACGTAGATAGCACCTTCCCGTAATTTCTAAAGAATACAGGGTGCATTTCTTGAAACACCCGTCTTATATACGTGGGTCTGTTGTAGGCAGGTTCGTGAGCCATAAGAACGCGACAGCTGTCCGACATTCGCACCGCGGCAACAAGTGCCACAATATATAAATTATGCAAAAGCCTTGTATTAAAAAAATGGCGTCCACGTTTCAATCACTTTGGAGTTCACTGCTTTTATGTTCTTGAATCTTGACGTCAAATGGCCTTCAAAAATGACTGATAAATTGTGTAATTGAAAGGTCATCTATCAAACGAATACATTAGGTGGTATTTTGTTCAAACAATGCTTGAACCACTTCCTCCTGCTCCGAGGTTCACTCTCAATGTCATGGGGCAGAATGAGTTTAGCGACGTGGGGCCTGCTAACAGAAGCCAGTCGAAGACTGTTCATTACAGAGATTCGGCGTTGAGCACAATGCAGCATTTAAATATTACTCTTCAAGATACTGTATAGCGACGTCGTATAAAAAAATCAGACTCTTATAAGTGATGCGACTGCATAAAGAAGACATTTAGGACATTATATTCGACAATGAACTCTGCTTCTGGTATTCACAACAGCTATTAGTCTCACTAACGTCATTCTACCTGAACTTCAGAACTTCAGTGCCTTCAGATAACAAATATGAAAACATTTTTGTGTGAATGGCACAGGACAGACAACTACATCGCCAAAAGTACAATTCCTGTCAGGTGACTAGCTTTACAATGAAACGTCTATACTAGCAGTTAGAATATTGAAACACGAAGACGACTATTTCGGGTTTGCTCCATTCTGTAGATAATTTTTTATATGAATGTTGTCGTATGTGTCAATTCTAGTGCGAAGTTTATTATATATGCCGACGACACCAGGATTTTTTTTCTGGTAACCTTATATATGACGTCATAGGCGTCTTCAATGAAATCTAAACCATATAGGTGATTGGTGTATTACCTGAAGAATGCAACTAAATATTAAAAATTGTAAAACTTTACGTGTTCATAGACATTATACTACCTTTCTATTTTACCATATGAATATTGTCTCCTCAGATCCTGTGAATTCATATAAATACTTAGGCGTTCATATGACTTCAAACCTAGCCTGGTCTCTTCATTTACAATACGTAATCAGTAAAGCTAACAGCACGCTTGGCTACCTACGTCACAATTTTTCTAACGCTTCATCATCCTTAAAATTACTACTTTATCAGTTATTAGTGCGCCCCAAATTAGAGTACACTGCAGCAGTGTGGGACCCACACAAAGAAAACCTCATCGTCTCTCTAGAGCTCCTTCAAAACAATTATGTTCGATTCATTTATTCTATTTATAACCGCACTTCCAGCATATCTTCAGTGAAACCTCACCTATGTCTTCCATCACTATCATCACGGAGAAAAATAGCTCACTTAACTCTGTTTCACAAGATATACCATCATCAATTTCTTCAGAATGACTTTATTTCACAGCGACTTACTTGTCACGCCGTGTAGACAATCGCTTCAAGGTCGGAACACAAGCAGGAAATACCACCACCGCCTTCAGTAATTTCCTTTTCCCTAGAACATCTCGCCAATGAAACTACCTTCCTAATGACCAGCATTGATAACGAACTTTTTCGCAAGGCTCTAGCTAACATTGTTTAACTTGGAATTCATGACATCTTGTAATTGTTGTCATATAGAGGTATAAACAGGAATCAGTGTCATGTAACCTGGTTTGTACATATTAGTAATTGCAAAACATTTCCTTTCTACATCGTATATACTGCTATTTTTAGTCTATTGTTTTATTGCATTGTTCTATCTATTCTTGTCGTGTTATTTACTACCCAATTTTGTGTGATTTTTTGTTCACCCATCCCCTCTGTGAGGCTCCGGGTCTTGAGGGTACACAAAATGAATAAAAATAAATAAATCTTTACTTACATATTACAAAATTTATCTGCGTGGTTGTTAAAAATGGCATAAAAAGGATGAAAGTAAAACAAAGGCTATTACTTTCATAGCAAAACACCGATAATCAATCCCCCCCTCCACATGCAGTTATAACTTTAAATGATCGCAGCAATGAAATTGTTGATAATTTTGTGAGTCTGAAAGTGGTATTTTCTGCAAGTATGTCTTGGGATATTCATGCCAATGCAGTTATGCCAATGCAGTTCGTTGCCTCAAACACCTTCTGTCCACTTGGTTGATATTAAATA